CAGCCAAAGTGTTTCAAAAAAAAAAAAAACAGAGCTAAAACATTGTATAAGTTAATGAGGCTTTGTCATAAGTAAACCCCTTCTACAAGAAATGATTTTTATAAAAGAACTTCTCAAGCCTAAAGGAAAATGACATCAAAGGAAAATCATATCTATAAGGAAAAATAATGAGCACTGAAAATGGTATACATGTGGGTAAATATAAAATACAAGTTTTCTTTCTCTCCTTAAATTCTTTAAAAGTCAATGGGCTGCTCGAGGCAAAAATAATATTAACAGTGCACTACAGTATTTATAACAGATGTAGAAGTAAAGTACATGACACCAATAGCATAAAGGGCAGAAAAATATAAACTGAGTTACATGTGAAGTGGTACATATTAACTTAAGGTGGAATGCAATAAGCTGAGGATAAACACTGTAAATCCTAGAGCAACAACTGAAAATAATAATACAACGCTGTATAAATCAAAAGCCAAACAAGGAGTTAGAAGGAACTACTGAAACACTACTCAACCCAAAAGGAGTCAGAAAAGAAAACATAAGAATGGAGACAGATAGGAAACAAAGAGCAAGATGGAAACTTCAACCATATCAAACATTGCATTAGGTCTAAGTAGATCAAGCACTCCAATTAAAAGGCACAGATGTCCTGGCACGGTCACCACCCAGAAAGACAGAGGTGGTCAGGCAGGGTGAAACAGTAGCACTCAGATAAGCTTTCTCCTTCACCAACCTTCAAATAGACTGCATTTCAAATTTATAAAAATGTCACCAGTAAATGTAAAAGTATGGACAAAAAACAAAAACTAAATGATGGAAAAAAATAAACAGCCTAAGAAAATTGCCATGTCTGTAACATACAAAGCAAGGGTCAAAACAAAGGTACTGCATAACATAAAGAGGGTTATTTTACAACGATAACAAGATAATTTCTTGAGTAACGTGTAACAATCCTAAACATGTATGTGAATAATAGTAAATTTTTAAAATACACAAGGAAGCATTAACAGAACTGAAGGAAGAAACAGACAGATCCAATCAGAAATTTCAATATTTCCATTGATGAGTAAATAGAAAAGAATCAGTAAAGATATAGATTTGAGTAACACTGTGAAACAATTTAACCTAGTTGCTTGTCATGAAACATCACACTAAGAATTACAGAATGTACATACTTTTCAAATGTACATGAAGGATTCACCAAGATAGACTATATGCCAGACCATAAAACAAATCTCAATAAATGCTAAAGGAATAAAACTGAGGGGAATACATTTTCTGACCCAAGCATAATTGAATTCAAAATCAATAACAAGGAAAATGAGACAGAACACAAACTGCTCCTGTCAGGTGTGAGAAGACATCACCAACAATTTCAAAAGACACTTTTAAATGGTAAAGGAATATTATAGACAACTTTGTGCTAATACATTCAAGAACAAGTCAGATACAGGGGTGAAAAGGATGCAAGCTGACAAAAGTAGCACAAGAGGAAATAGAAATTCTGAATGTCCCTGTATCTATTAAAGAAATTGAATTCATAATTTAAAATTGCACACACCTACTCAATTACCAGGTCAAGATGGCTTCACTGGTCAACCCATCGGGTTATAAATGATACTAATGCTGTACAAACTCAGAAAACAGAAACTCAGAGAAAGACTAAACATTTTCTAACTTTTTTTGTGTGAGATCAGCACAATCCCAATACCAAAATTTGATAAGGGTACTGTGTGAAAAGTAAATGAAACGCAATATCCTTCTTGAAGGGTGCAAAAATGCTTCGTGAAATATTAGCAATCAAACAGAGCAATATATAAAGCAGATAATAAATCAAGACCAAGCGGAGTTGACCCTAGGAATATAAGATGGGTCCAACATCTATAGACCAATCAATATCATTCAACATATTAGCTAAAAAAAAGGAGAGAAACCATATGATCATCTCCATAGAAGCAGATTGCACATCTGCCAAACCATAATAGTCATTGATTTTAAAAAAAAAAAAAAAAGAAAGAAAAGAAAACCTTCATCAAGGGCTGGGGATTTAGCTCAGTGGTGCTGCTGCCTGCCTCGCAAGCTCAAGATCCTGAGTTCAATCCCCAGTACCAAAAAAAGAAAACGTCATCAAATTAGAAATAGGACAGAACATCCTCAGTCTAGCAAAGAAATAAGAAAAATATATGCCTAACATATTTAATAGTAAAATAGTGATCCTAAGATCAGGATCAAGACAAGAATATCCTCTCTCTCCAGTTTTTTTCCAACATCATACTGGAATTTCTAGCCAATGTAATGAGGCAAGAATTAAGACTAGAAATGAAGAAGTAAATTTCAGCTATAAAAAAGAATGTACTGTAGGCATGGTGGCACACGCCTGTAATCCCAGGACTCGGGAGGCTGAGGCAGGAGGATCGCTATGAATTCTAGACCAGCCTGCTACATAGTGAATTGCAGATCAGTCTCAACTACATAGTGAGACCCTGTCTCAAAAAACCAAAAAAAAAAAAAAAGAGAGAGAGAGAGAATGCACTGCTGATACATGCAAAGAGCATGAACCAGAGCCGGGGATTTAGCTCAGTGGTTCTGCAGCCTGCCTCGAAAGCACAAGGACCCAAGTTGGATTCCCTGATACCAAAAAAAAAAAAAAAAAAAGAGCATGAATCAATCTCAAACACATTATGCTGAGAAAAAGAAATCAGACACAAAGGAATGAATACTTTTTATTCTATTTGTATAAAACCCTAGGACAGGCAAAAATACTTTACAATCACAGAAAGAAAGCTGCTCAGTGGTCCCCTGAGGGCTGATAAGGGTGAGCAACTGCAACAGGGAAATTTTAAGAGTTACTGGAAGTGCTCTAATCTTGATTATAGTGATTATTGCAAGAATACAATTTTTAATTTATATTTAAATTGTACATTAAATTGATACATTTGTTATATATACATTAACTTTAATGAAGTTGAGTTTAAAAGTAGGAAAAATAGATACCATTAAGACAATGAAAAGGTAAGACACAGGCTATAGGTGACACACAAAGACTATGGACAGTGCAGATGTCTGACGAAGGACTTGAATCCAGACTATACAGGCAGCTCTTCCAATTCAATAAGAAAAGTGAAAAGCAAACAAGGTTTTGTTTTGTTTTTGTTTTTGTTTTTTGGTACCGGGGATTAAACTCGGGTCCTTGCACTTGCAAGACAGGCAGCAGAACCACTGAGCTAAATCCCCAGCCCCAAACAAGGTATTTTGATGAGTGAAAGACTTTGACATTTCATAAAAGATAATACCTGTATATGAATGGTTCCATATGCTCATATAATTATCTCAAAATCATAAATCATCAGAGAACTGCCAGCAGAATGATGTGATGCTACTGTACACCTCCAAGAATGACCAACATCAAAAAGAGGACAAAGTCAAGATCTGGCATGGATGTGAAGAAACTACAACTCTCACACACTCCTGGTGGGAATATAAGATAGCAGGACCACTTTAGACCGTAGTTGGACAGTTTCTTGTGAAATTATACCCATACCTAGGTTAGGAGACAACTATTCCACTGCTAGCCATTTACATAAGAAAAACTAAAACATGCACCCACAAAATGACTTATAAATGAATATTCATAGGGCTTTTCTCATAATTATCAAAAACTGCAAACAATTTAAATGCCCATCATCGGGTAAATGGATAAACAGATTGCATTGTATTCATATACTTAAAAACTATCCACTGTTCGAAAAAAAAAAAAGAATGACATCCTAATGCAGGCAACCACGGGAATAAACCTCAAAAACATATTGGGTGAAAGAAGCCAGACACAAAAAAGGTCGAGTATGAGCTCTCATTCAGAAGGAGTTTGAGAACAGGCAAGCCAAGCGGTAGGAATGGAATTCCTAACAGTGGCTGCCCGGGCGGTAGGGGAACTGATTCGAAGGGCCATGAAAGGACTTGCTAGAGTGACAAAAATGTCCTGTCTCCATTGGTGCAATGGTTACATAGGTACACGTGTGTCAGAACTTGAACTGTACAGTTCAAGTGTATACATCTTATTCCTTAATCTTAAAGATTAGGTGTGAAGGACTTACCTTGGGGCTTAACACATAGTACGGGCTCAGCAACTATGAATTCTCCCATTCCTCACCCTCCCCTCCCCATCCTCATCAGGCAGATATCATAATGTTCATTTTGGTTTGGTTTGGTTTGGCTATCCAGTCCTGGAGGGGTTGAGCTCAAGACTTTCACACCAAACAATATCCCCAGCCCTTTTTAAAATGCCTTAATTTGGGACAGGTCCTGGCAAGTCACTAAATTGCCCAAACTGGGCTCCAACTTGCAAGCGTCCTGCTTGCATCCGAAAGTGCAGGGATTACAAACATGTACCACCATACCTGGCAGATGTTAGGAGCCTATTTATTGTCACTGCACCTCTGGAAAAAGAGGGTCATTTTCCCCAGAGGGGCATCATCCAATGAGTGACTGGGATCATAAATTAACAGCCTCAATCCACTTCATCCTGAGTCTGCCTCTGGGTTTTGTCCTCCCAGTCTGGGTCTGGGGTTCCAATTTAATCGGGTCAGTCCAAGAGGCTGGAGGTGACAAGGTGTGAAAATGGAAAGGCACCGCACAGATAAGACACTTGAGAGGCTGGGATACAGCTCAGTGGAGCCACACCTGTCTGGAAAGCGCAAGGTCCTGAGTCTGATTCCCAGTATGGGGGGTGGGGGGAGGGAAAGAGAGAGAGAGAGAGAGAGAGAGAGAGAGAGAGAGAGACTGAGAGGAACGAACGATGCTTAGGGGAAGATTATAAAAGATGAGGAAAACTCAGGCCCGGATGTTGATGGCCTGGAACAGTACAGCTGAGACTGGCACATCATCGATGACCCATGAGTACTTGTTGACTGAAAAGGTGGGTGAATGAGCCAGAGTCTAGGGAGGCTGAGGAAGCAGCACTGGCCAGGGCTGATGTTGGCCTCGTTCCTGTCTTGCAGCTCACGTACCTGCCCCCACCCTGGGGCGAGTGCCGATCCTCAGAGATGGGGCTGGACTTCTTTCCTGTTTACAGTATCACCGCCTGTCGCATCGACTGTGAGACCCGCTACATCGTGGAGAACTGCAACTGCCGGATGGTCCACATGCCAGGTGGGTGCCAGGCCTTCTTGGCATTGCCCGCCCAGTGGAAACGCGTCACCCACCCCACTAGGACCCAGAGTGCCATGGCTCTGGGAGGACTTGGTTACTGGGCGACCGAACATTTAGAAGCCGGACTGAATTTCTACTCAGCTCAGCAACGGAAGCAGCAGCTCAGCGTCCGGGAGCGTCCAGATGTTAGGAGAGCGCTCACCGGGTGCTCAACGTTTGCCAACTGCTTGGCACTCTGACCTCTTAGCGTCCGGATAACCAGATGCCTGGTCCTTGCCACCTGGTGTGGTACAAGTTTAAACACCCAGATGCCTGCTGCTGCCATCCAGATGCTTCCCTTCGTGGATCCCAATGTCTAGCACTTGTTCAAGCAAGGCAAAAGTCTATCAGCCAGCAAGTCGACCTGTGCGTGCTGGCACCTCCGCCGTCAGACTAACAGTGCACAATGCAGGTTGCCTTCTCCTTAGAGGCAGCCGGAGCCGGGTGGAAAGCAAAAGCGAGGAGTAGGCACGGGGCTGGGCAGGAGTTTGGTGCTGCGGCAGGGTGGGATGACGGGCTGGCCCAGGGCCTTGGCCTCTACTTCAGGCTCCTGTACTCACTTACCGTGTGACCTTTACAAGTTGAGTAAGCCCCCTTTTCTCTCTTTCAGTCGCTGTTATGAGGATGAAATTAGGCTAGGATATAAAAATGGATTGCAAACTGCAGGCATCCGTGGTTGTTGCCCTGTCACATAAAGGGAGGAAAGCAGAAGTCAGGTTGGCCGAGGGCTTACTGAGTGCCGGGAACACACTACGTTTCATGGCTGTTAATTCGTGGTTGTATCGTGCCTTATGTTCAGGGAACAAAATCCTTGTGCTGGACCTGCAGTTCGCCCACCAATTGTCTTTTGTTGTCCACCATCTCCGAAGTGAGCACCCTTGTAGCCGAATTCTGAATTCCATCATGAATAATCGGCAATTTTTTTTTAGAGATTAGAACTATTGAGCTTTAAAATAGATTCAGTGTCAAGGGTCCTTGCCAGGATGACTAGCATTACCACCCTTAAGACGAAAGACGATCAGGAGGAGTCCAATCTAAAAGCAAGTGTCGTAAAATCAGTGTTCCTTCCACAGCTAAGGTCAGAGAGAGGCGATTCTTTTGACTATGAAGGTGGGTGGCCGGTGAATGTGGGGTGGCCTCAAGAAGCTGGAAAGGCAGGGAAGTGAATCCTCCACTCCAGCGTCCCGGAAAGCATCTGCCCTCCCGATACCTTGAGGTTAGCCCCGGGAGACCTGTGTCTGACTTCTGACTGACAAAATTGTGCAACTATAAATTTGTGTCGCTTTAATTAATCATACTAAAATTGCCTCTGAGCTTCCTCAAAGACAGAACAAGAAAAGGAAAACATGACATCTAAACTGTCATAAGACAGAGAGAGATCTATCAGCTCTTTATCTCTGAAAAAGAGTTTTGGGGAAATAATTACGAAAAGAAATTGTAGAGGATTTTAACTTTAGCACTTCTTCTAAAAGAAAAAAATAAAGGTCTTGGATTTCCACAGAGAGCCCAGACAGGGGAATCCAGCACTGGTGGATGCTACTTGCCTGATGCTCAGACGGAGCCACCAGCCAGTGAATTTTGCCAGAAGCCTGAGCCAAAAGCAAGCAGGCAAAGGAGAGAATTTCGTCACCCCACCACCACCCCGGTCACCAACACTGACATTTCAGCTGTTCGTGTGGGATTAAGGGTGGAGCGCAGAGGAAGCACAAAGCAACCCTTGCTCCCTTGCAGCAGGGTGGTGTGCTGAGAAGACCTCCAGCCTCGGCCCAGATGGCCTCTGGTCAGAGCCCACCACCATCTCTATCAGCTCTGGCTGGGTGCTTACACCTCAGCTCCCTCCCAGGTAGAACAGACGCACTATTTCCAAGTCGAAAGGCTCCTCGTGCAGATAGACGAGGCTATGCACAGCCACACCTAGAAGGGGCTTCTCTCCATCTCCCTGCCCTCAGTCCCCCAGGCAAGCTCACCTGTCACCCACAGGAGCTGGGAGGTCCTACAGAGCCACCTGGGAGAAGTCAGCCAGACGGGTCCTGTTTTCTGTCCTGCCCAAGCTCACAGAGAACATCCGAGCACAGTCTTCCAGCACTGGGAACAGTCTGACCATTGAGGTCCACTGGAGGTTGCTGCCCCTGCCACGACCAGGAGGCACTCACTGCGCCCCCACCCCCAGGGAGGGAGGTGCTGCTGACATTGATGTGCACAGTTCTGCCTGAGTAACTGTCCCTCGGTGTCTCTCTGTGCAGGGGATGCCCCTTTCTGCACGCCGGAGCAGCACAAGGAGTGCGCAGAGCCTGCTCTAGGTCAGTACTGGGGGTCACTGGGTGTGGGGCCCGGGGTCAAGGGCGTAGAGGTCATCTGAGCATGGGGAGAGGGAGATAGAGTAGAAGGAGGGAAAAATAGGGAGAGCGTGGGAGGAAAGAGGCTGGGCAGGAGAGAGTCTTGCTGCAGGGAGGGCAGAGAGTTGAGAGAGTGAAGGAAGGAGTCTGTGCAATAGGTGAAGGTTGGAAAGGGGGAGAGAAGGAAGAGAGGCACAGCCGTGAATGTGAAGGAGTGGATTTCAGGGAGAACAGAAATGCTGCAGGAGAGGACAGATGAAGAGGAGGTGGGCAATGGGATACCTGAGATACCTTCCCTCACACACTCCGCTGCTGTTCATGCGCAGAAGCCAAGGTTATTCCAAAACATCCCATCTTTCCTGCGCCCTTTCGAGCCCAGGGGTGAGGGCAAGGCTGGGAGGTAAGGTCGGGTTTACATTCCGTGTGCAAAGTTTACATTCCTCCTGAGCCAGCCTGCTGGGTGTCTGCTGGTTAGAAGAGACCTGCTGACTCCCCAGCTGGGAGATGAGAGAATGAGACAGCACCAACAAGACGCAACCCCTTAGCCGGGCTTGCTCGTCTCACCCACCTCTCCACACCCGGGAAACGGCTTAGCATCAAGACAAGCAGAGGAAATTGTCAACAGAGTGGTCTCAAGTTTATTCATAAGTTGCATTTGATGGAGTTAAAGTGGGAGCAGAGCTGGAGTCCTGTTTAGACGGCTTCAGAAGGACGAGACAGGGGGTGACTTCTAGCGCTTACGAAGATTCAGGTTTTCTTTGGAATCAAGACTTGGCAAAACCCAAGGGTGGCCAGAAATACTGAAATGGCCTAGAAAGGAGAGAGGAAAAGAGGATGGTGCAGAAAAGAGTATTCACGTGCTTGTTCAATGATAAGGAAACGTTTTTGACAATTTACAGTAGGTCCCCACTACAGCAGGAAAGGAAGATGGGGTTGGACTCAGAAGCCTACAAAGCCAGCTGGGGATCCACAGCCAACAGTCACTGTGAGGGGTCAGCAGACAGAAACTCAGTGAAGCAGACTTTAAGGACAGGGAGAATCCTGCCAGGCCGACTTACGATCCTCACAGGACGGACACAAGCCAGGATGGTCGGTTGTCCAGGGTGGCTATGCACCCTAAACTGCCTTTGGTAGGATTCTTGCTAAAGCTAGGTGAGGACAATGCACGTGAGAGTCAAGGTCTAGTTAACAAGAAGGCTCAGGAGAGCTGGCTAAGGTTTGGTCCCAAAAGGAGTAAGATTAGGTGTGGTTACACAGAGCTGGGAGGCTGAGGCAGGAGGACCCTGAGTTTAAGACCATCCTGGGCAATTTAGTGAGACCTTGCCTTAAAAATTTAGAAAAAAATTTAAGTGGCTAGAGATGTAGTTCAGTGTCCTGTGTTCAATCACAAAAAGAAAGAGAGGGAAGGGAGAGAGAGGGGGAGAGAGGAAAGGAAGGAAGGAAGGAAGGAAGGAAGGAAGGAAGGAAAAGGAAGGAAGGAAGGAAGGAAGGAAGGAAGGAAGGAAGGAAGGAAGGAAGGAAGGAATAGAAAAAGAGAAGGAGGCAGGGAGGGAGGTGGGGGAGAAGAAAGAGACAGAAAGGCAACAATGCCTTAAACCACCTCATCTGGTTAAAAGAAGAGAGGAAGGGAGAGAAGGGCTGTAGCTACCGGAGGTTCCCCCAGAGAAAGGAGGTGAGGACCCTTCCCAGCATGTTTCCCAGCAGCAAAGGAGGCATTGACTTTTAGGGAGGCCTAGCACGAGCAGCAAGGAGCCCCCCGCTCCAGGTACAACGCCCCCCACCATGTTGCCTCACTCTGTGGATAAGAACACTGAGTCTAGGAGCAGAGAAGGAAGCTGTGGGAAGTCAAGGGGGCTGGGACTGCCTCAGAGCCCATCCTCCAACAGCAACTACACTTTCTACAATTTCTAAAGGGTGACACAACAGTACTGCAACTGGAAACCAAAAGAAAACAAGACCAGCCTACAGCCAAAGCCCAGGTCCTCTATCTCCAAGATCCCTCCCTGCTCCTTCCTGAGATCAGCACTTCCTCCCCAGCTCTCTTCTCAGCTGCTAGAATCCAGCTGTGCTGGACCGGAAATCTCTGCCCCCCACCTGACTAAGACCCCACCACCACCCTCTCCCCTCCAGGTCTGCTGGCGGAAAAGGACAGCAATTACTGTCTCTGCAGGACCCCCTGCAATCTGACCCGCTACAACAAAGAGCTCTCCATGGTGAAGATCCCCAGCAAAACGTCAGCCAAGTACCTGGAGAAGAAATTTAACAAATCAGAAAAATATATCTCGTAAGTTAAGTGGGCATCGTGAGGAGGGGAAAGGAGGGTGGATCAGGAGGAAACTGAAGGCTGTGCAGGAGGAGAGCAATAGTAAGCATTTAGTTCAATTCAGCAAACATTAATTGCACACCTGTGTATGCCAAGCTCAGAATCCAAAGATGACTTAAGGCTCAGCTACAGGCCTTGAGGAGCTTGTTGTCTCCTGGGAGGGCAAGTACTCCGTTGAATGCCACATGCGCATATGCACATGGTAAGAGGAAAGGATGGACTCCCTGCAGTTTGTGTGGTGGGAGGTTAGGAAAAGCTTGAGAGATTTTCAGGATGCACCCATGTTTTCCAGGCAGACCTTTCAGGTTGCTTCCTCTGCCTCGTGTGTTTTCCTGCCACTGTCCATCTACCTGGTTCCTCACTGTGCAAGTCTCTGTTTCACTGGGATCTCCTCAAACAGCTACATTTGGCTTCCTCCTGTCAATTTTCTCTCCGAACACTCTGGTTTTTCCTTTATAGTACTGACCGCAGTCTGTAATCATATGTTCCAGCTGTGGTCCCTTGTTTCATAACGTGCCTGCCCAAAATGCCTCCTGAGGGCACAAGCCTCTCTTTTTAGTTCTCTGCTTCTGCCAAGTGAAGCATCTGACAGAACTGATGCTCGAAAAATATCTTTTAAGGGAGTGATTGAATAAGTGAATGAATGCCCCAAAGGAGGGTGCCCAGGCAGAGGTTCAGCAGGGAGAATTGGCACAGGGCAGACAGGAGACAAAGGGGAAGGTGGACAGGTCAAAGCAAGAGGATCTGTTAGGCTGAGCTGATGGAGTGGGAGATTTTGGGGTCCAAGGGGGACTTGAACCTAAAAGAACAGGGAACCATTGAAGAGTTAGAAAATAATAGGCTCAGATTTATATTTTAGACCACTGCTCTCCAGTAGAACGTTCTGCAAAGATGGATATGTTTTACATCAGTGGGATCCAATAAGGTAGCCACTAAACATGGGAGGCTGCCAAACATTTGAAATGTTGCTTGTGGGACCAAAGAACTGAACTGTGATGTGATTTCATTTGGGCCAAGGTGACCCTTTCACAAAGGCCCTTCAGAGGGCAGTAGAGGAGGCAGGTGGACAGCAAGATGGGGAGAAGGGAGCCTGTTAGAGGCAGCTGTCATAACCCAGGCAAGACACAGTGAGGCTGTGAATGGCTCCTGCCTGGGTGAGCTGTACATGGAGCAGGAAAGGTCAGCTCCTCTCTTCCCCAGCCTCGACATTCTGCATAGCAGTCCCACTCCCCGTCCAGGGACAGCTTCTGCTCAGCAGGCTGAGCACAGGAGTGAGGAGGGCAGGTTGAGCCACACTGAAGTAGGTGGGGATGTAGGAGATGCCTTAAGGAGGCATTCTTTGGGCAGAGATGACTTTTACTGTCGAGATGCATTTCATTAACACACCTTCCTACAGGAGAGGAGCAAAAGGAGACATAGAAATTCTGCTAGAACTACCCCTACCCAAGGGGACATCGGTTGCCCCCTAGAAATTTTCCCTGACTTGACAAAGCCAGGGTAGGACTTCCCACCAGGAGAAGCTGGTTGTGAGCCTGAGGGGGGAATATGGAGGCTCTTGGGATGGGGCAGGGCCCCCAGCCAGCCTGCTCAGGTGATTGCTGAGTTTGTTTGCATGCTAAGGACCCAGGTGGGCCCTTGAGGCTCCGAGCCTATAAGCCAGGAAGGGCTTCTGGAAAGGATGTCAAGAGAGAGGTTCAAACAGGGCAAAGGAAGGGAGATAACAGAAGCCCGAGGTCCTGGGCTGGAGTCAGCATCTCAGTTGCAAGGTCCAGCGCCACAACTAACACATTCCACCTTTGGGCAAGCTCCCTGGACCTCCACTTCTCCCTCTATCCCTGAGACAGCTGAAATCAAAAGATCCCTGAGAATGTTGATGGTTCTAACCACGCACGGTACTGAATATTCCCTCCACAGAGAGAACATTCTTGTTCTGGATATATTTTTTGAAGCTCTCAACTACGAGACAATTGAGCAGAAGAAGGCGTATGAAGTTGCTGCCTTACTTGGTAAGTCAGAGTGTCTGTTGCACAAATTTCCACCTCTCGTAGGGGATGGGAAGGAGGGAGGGAGGCAGGGAGGGCAGGTGGGCGGAAGGCAGGCAGATGCATAGATACATAAGCCTGTGAGGGAGTCAGGCCTTATAGTTTACTAATTACTTCCTCTTTCCTTGCATGGTTCCTGGTCTAAAGAGGGTAGAATCCCAGTGCGGAGATTTTGGGCCCAGTTCAATCAACAGCCAAGGCTTCAGCCACCACTCCCCACTACCCACCCACCCACACACATGCACGTTCGCACACACTCACACACGAATGCAACAAGGAAGGTGAGCATAAATGCCCCTCAGGGCCTTTCCAGCCCTGTCTCTTAGACTCTCTGGTCTTCTCCCAGGCCAGAGTCAGATTCCTAGAGCCTAGAAGGAGGAAGTAGCACCAACACAGTCAGGGCCCCGGATGGAATCCAGCCAAGGGCAATATGGTTATATTGAGAAGACCAAGTGTTGCCCTCTGGACCAAGGGTCCTTTGTCAAACACAAAATAAGGGCTGCCCTCCTCAGATATCTACCAGCCTGACTGCCACCTGCAGAAGTTCACTTTAGCTGCCCTGGCCCCACACATACATAGTGGACACGGGATGAATAGAACCCTGTCCCACACTCCCAAGACCCCTGAGAGTGGATGGCCCAAGGACAACCCCTCAAGCCTTTCCACCATTTCCCACTTACTCTCAAGAGAGGACCCCCATGTCTGCTCCCTACAGAGAGAAACACCTGCTGTCTCTGTGACTGAACTAGGTGTCAGTAGTAACCTAGGAGGGGTAGGTGCCTTCTACCTAGACACGCAGGAGGAAGAGCTAGGTTTAAACCCAAGGGCTGCTACATGAAGCCATCAGGGTGTGGGCAGGAGGCTTTTTGCAGCATCTCATCTGCAGAATGGGTTTCATAGTACCCCTGTTGTAAGTTTGCCATGATGGTTAGATGTGATGAGGCTTCAAGCCAGAGAAAGGCTGTAAATAGCAGTTTCTGTCACTTAGAGTCATCATGCCAGGCATCCAGAATCTACCTGGTGTATCCAGGGACAACCTGATCATTTTCACACTTCCTCCAGGAGGCTAGGAACTGGGCTGGACCATAGCTCAATGCCAGCTGGGTTAAGGTGGCTGTCACTCAGGCCTCAGAGATCATTGCAGCGTAAGGCATTGAGCCAAGAGATTCACACTCTGGGCCCCACAGTAGAGTTCATGCCCCTTACCCACCCCAATGGGTCCTGAAGGTGACGCAGGACATATTTCCTTCCCTCCTCCAGCATAGGCTCAGCCTCTCTCTCTCTCTCTCTCTCTCTCTCTCTCTCTCTCTCTGAGCTTCCTCTCTCTCTCTCTCTCTCTCTCTCTCTCTCTCTCTCTCTGTCAGATCAAGAAGGGCCTGAGCTCTGAATCTGTCATATCTGCATCAAATATGAGCATGAGCTTGTTCCCAGCATCTTGTTCCCACCCAGAATAGCCTACTGAAGAATCAGGCTGCCATCTGTACCTCCTGTGACGAGAGCATGTGCCACTTGCAAAACCTCAGCCATCAGGCCCTGCCTGGCCTCCCTTCACCACTACCCTTAGTCACTGCACAGACACTCACTTCACACATGCACACCCCACCCCAACCTCTGCACACACACCAACCTAAGGATCCATGTGCCATATACAAATGCACACCTACACATCCCCATATACAACCAAACAGCTCCAGAGACACACCGTGCACACAGCAAGCCCGGGCAGACACAATGCGGGCCAGTGCACTACACACCTGTTACCTACACCTGCAGAGCACATGCAGAAATGTGCCCCACCCCCACATGCTCACACATGCTGTCCGTCCTCACACACACTTTTTCCAGCCTCCACAAACCTACACTCACACTCAGCGGGCCTAGACAGAGGTGGCCATCGTCAGCCGGATACTCTGCCCGCATCTAGACAAACACATGCACACACCTTGCACCTGGCTCACACCCTCCTCATACCACTGTTTCCAACCATACCGCACACAAACACAAACACACCTCTCACAACGGACATGGGCATACAGAAGTGCACATTCCCCAGTAAGCCCACAATAATGATGTGAAAGGAAACTTCTCTGAGCCCAGCGTCAAGCTCCCTCCCCACCGTCTCTTCTTTTTCACCTGAGATGTGGGTGTTGGGATCCACCCAGCCATGCGCGGGAGAGGAGTCGGGTAGATCTGCCCACCAGGAAGTTCTCAGGCCACGAGATCAGTCTGGGATTTCCAGGAGGACTGTAGGCCCACCCCCAACAGGACCCCCATCCCCACCCCTCTCCCCAGACAGCCAGAGATCGGAGCTAGGAAGGACTCTGCGGTTCCGAGCGTTCACCCCTTTCCGATCACCACCACCAAAATCCTCTGGAGACAGGGCTGCTGAGAAGGTCAGGACTTGTTAAAACCAAACAGTTTGGTGAGCACACAGCAGACCCAGAGCCCTGTGCTTTATATGCTGCCTGTGCAGCAAAGTGGCTTATGCTTCTGAGGGACCTGGGCCCTTTGAGAATCTCAGAAGAGCTGTCTGCTGTCTGGCTACAAATGCCCAGGTACACATACACCTTGCTGTCTCTTACTGGGTTTCCAAGCACCTGAGGTCCTCCCAAGAAAGTGGTTTTCAATCCCTGGTGGGCCTGAAAACCACCTTTGGAATTTAAAAACTTTGACATTCATACCTCAATCCCAGAGATTTTGATTCCCTAGTTCCAGGTATATATAATATCTACATGGATGACAAGGCTTCCACAAGAACTTGATGCCAGGAACCAGAAGACAAATCTAACAAAACCTTGACCCTGGGGCCCCTACACCCCAGGATGAAAACCTCTGCTCTAAAGAGACTACTTTAAATATGGACCAATGGGCAGAGAAAGAGGGGTTATCACCTGTGACCTGATCCCAAAGGCTGGAGGTGTCGCAAGGTAGTCCTGAAGGCCATGCCAAGGTTGGTGGGTGGGGACATCGGTCTTGCCACTGTTCCTGAGACCCTCACCCAGGGCACTGATGCATGGCCCTCAGGCTAGACTGTGCCTCTATGCAAGGTAAGGACCCTTGTCTCATCCCTACTCCCAGTGCAGAGTCACACAGGATGTGGTCAGTATAGTTCTGAAAGTCACTGAACCAGCCCAGGGAGGTCCCCCTGTTCCCCACTGGATTCTGCCACACTCAGCTCTCAGAGCGCACAGTGAGGGTGACAAGGCCCGGGCTCTGTGGAGGGGCACAGTCCGGAGTGCTGGCTTCCTCCCTCTTTGTCACCTCATCCCCTCCTGGAAGCCACATAAGTAAAACCACCTCTTTTGGTCTTTTCCTTCTCTCCAGGTGACATCGGTGGTCAGATGGGGTTATTTATTGGTGCTAGTATCCTTACAATACTAGAGCTCTTTGATTATATTTATGAGGTAAGTGTTTGGGGTTGCTCTTGGGGAAATGACCACATCCTCATCCTGCCCCCAGGTTTAGAACCAAGGCCTGGCAGAGGCAATGGCCTTACCCTACCCACCCACAGCCTGCTTCTCCTGCTGTGAGTCTTCACTGATCCTAGGCTCAGGGGTGAGAGCGAGTCTTAAGGATGGTGGATATAAGAGAAGAGAAGCCATGGTCCTACCCTCAGGAGGCTGTCTACACTGCAAAGAGGGAGGGGGGAGGGAAAGAAGGGGCCAGACTCTGTGCAGCCCAGCCCTGAGCCCCTACCGGAGCAAGGCTGGAGGCAGTGACTGCACACCATGGGTATGTCCACATCTATACAAGTACACTACACACATAGCACATCACACTTTCACACATCATACACATACGCGTACTACACTTACACCATGTGCTCACACATATGCACACCATGTACAACACACACACACACCATGCACAAGCCTTCCATCTGAGAGGTCTGTTCTGCAGACTCTGCTCTGTAGTCTTCCGTGGCTTACCCAGTCCCATCACCTCGTCAGTCCCAGCGAGGACACAGGGACTCACACCAGCTGCCTGCCAGCTCTCAGTCTGGGGAGATGTATCCCTCAAGAGGCAGCCAAACAAAGCTTCTGGAAGCTCCTCAGACAGAGACAGGAGTCTCTGCATCTGGAGCTCCTGGAGTTGACCAGCACCTGCCGTGCCCCTAAACCCAGCAGGAGGTAGCACCCCTGGACACTCCACTGAGTGTTAGGCCAGGCAAAGAGCACCAGAGCTCAGGCAGCCTCCTGAAGAGCAGCAGCACTGGGTTAGCGAGCCAACCTGCAGTAGGAAATACAGCCTGTGCGTGGTCTGTCCCAGGCCTGTCCCGACACCGTGAGCACCTCCAAGCCCCTGGCTGTGAGACAGCAATGCCCCTCACCCTGCACTGCGCCTCTCTGACACAGGCACAGCAGTCCTAAGAAGTGCCCAGACCTTCACATATCCCTGTCCCAGACCTCCTGATCCCAAGCCAGCACATGGGAGCCAAAGAACAGCATTCTGCCACCCGGGGAAGGCTGCTCATAGCCCAAGGCCACTGAGAGTCATTAAGGGGAGCTGTGCAAGCCCCGTGACCAGAGTCCTCTGGAGACTCTCTTCTGCATGATGACCCCAAGCCAGGTTTTATTCTGCCTTGATTGTTAATTCACCCGAAAAGCTATGCAAAGTTATGGAGACTGACTCACACCAGGTAACATATTTAAGGAGTACCTTCTCTTGTTAGGAATGAAATGTAATGAATGCAGGAGTGCCCTCATCATGTGAACTGGAAAATTTTCTGGCCCTGAAAGTGAATAATAGCCTGTCCCCCCGGCCCAGCCTCAGAACAGGGGTCCTAGGCTGCTCCTGGGACCAACATGGAGCCCATCATACCAGTTGTATCCTTCCATTTGTCTAACTCTGTCTCAGAACACAGTCCACACTGCAAGATGGCACCTTCCTGCTCTCTTTTCCAAGCTTTCTGTCCAGCAACAAAAGCCCATGTCAGCCAAAAGGTTGGGTTGAGACAGACAGGCTCTTGGAGCTCCCTGCCAGGCTGGGCTCTTGCCACAGCGCAGACAGTCACTGCCCCTGTGGTTCCCCAGTGGAGTCCAGTGGAGGGAAGCCCCTCTACTTTTGCACCATCCTTCCGGCCTGACCACCCACTTCCTGCTTTTTTTTTTTTTTTTTTT